GGCCAACATGTACCGAGTGGGAGGTATGTGGGGCCCGGGCTCTGCTCCCCGCGCCGCGCCGGGCCGGGCCCGGGGGCTCCAGGCGTGCGCTGTGTGTAGCGCGCTGGGGAGGAGGGAGCCTGGCGCCCAGCTCAGCCCCTGCGCCCAGCCCAAGGAGCCAGCGCCCCACGCCCAAGGGGGCCCCAGCCCGGCTCCCCGCGGGGCGTGGGGAGGGGAAGGAGCCGCCTCTCCGCCAGGAAAGGAGGGGGCCCAGCCCTCTGCCCGCAGGGGGGAGTGGGCTCTGCCTCCCCAGGGGGCAGCCCCCCGGTAGGGGAAGGTGGGGAGCATCCTCTGCCCCCACAGGGGGAACGGGAAAGAGGAGCAGCAGGCCTTTTCGGAGGGGGAGGAAAAGGGCAGCACAAGTGCCCCCAAAGCACTAGGGGAGGGGGCTCAGCAGCTGCCCAGGAGGCGGTCACATGCTGCCTGCGCCCAGCCACCACTAGGGGATGCGACAGGGGCAGGATGTCCCAGGAAAGCTGGGAAGAATGGGTCTCCCACGAGGAGAGGAAATGATGCCACTTCTGCCCCACAATGTGGCAGTAGCAGTCCTCCAGGTGACTAGTCTCTCCTGCCACCAGGAAGGAGGAAAGGGCCTGGCTCAAACCCACATTGCTTTGACCTGATGAGAGTGGGCAACCTGTATCCGCCCAGCAACTTCTGCAGCACAGCAACGTCTCTCGTTTATTATTCCCTAATGTCATTGGCTACCTGCAAGGCAAAATCCTCCCTCTGCACTCTCTCCCTGCCCTTAAGTAATAAGTCAGGTTGGCTAGTTGTGATTGTGATCTTTCCACCAATCAGCATAGTTCTGTGGGCAGGCACCACAATGTTGGCTTCATTGGGCCAGGGGGAATGGAGGCCAGTTAGGGTGTGTCTGCACAGCAGGGCTTAACTCGAAATAAGCTATGCAAATCGAGCTATGTCAGTTGAACAGCTTATTTCGAAATAGCTTTTTGGAATTGGGAGCATCTACACAGCACTTATTTCAAAATAGAGCCCTCTTTGACTTCTCTTACTCCTCGTACAACAAGGGTTACAGGCGTTGAAGTAAGAAGTTCTTCAGTTTGAGAGTATATGGATCAGGGATGTTAAATTTAGATTAATTAACTAATCAAATAGTTAATAGACTATTTGATTAGTCTATAAGGGCGCCTCCTGCTGGGCTCTTGCTACATTTCAAAGATAGAAGCCTCCCAGGAAGTGCGGGTGTAGTGGGGTCTAATGGGGCTCTTGTACATTTCAAAAGGAAGCCCTGAGTGACCAGTGGGGACTCTTGCCTGGCCATGGTCTCTGCAGCACCCGAGCCTTTGAAATGTACAAGAGCCCCAGCGGGTTCATTTCAAAAGCAGAATCACCGCAGAACCAGCACAAGCGGAGACTGCTTCAGTCCTCGCACGCACCATTTCCGCTGTGCCTTTACCTCCCCTGCCCCCCATGGAGGCAGTGCTGGAGGGAACTGACTTTTAAGCTGTCTCCCCCCAGTACTGACTCCTACTCCTCTCTCTGATAGCGGCAGCAAGGAGGTGGAAGTGACTAGTCGCATCACTAGTCGACAGTCTGATAATCTTGTTTATTGGATAGTCTACTAGTTGCCACGTCTCTTACGTCCCAAATTTCAACATTATTTCAAAATAACTGCCTCCTGTGTAGATGTGGACTAAGTTATTTAGAAAATAATGTTGCTATGTAGATGTACCCTTATAAACTAAAGGTGGCTGTGGGTAAAGACAAGCCATAACAATTTCCCTCTCCTTCACAATAAAATGCCCAGTCAGTGGTTACAGTCATGTGATTAGTGCTGCAGGAAAAGCTGAAGTTAGCTTTTCCAACCATACCTTCTCAGTGTTTAATAGCATTCTTCAATCTTCTCCTAATCACACCCCAAACCAGCATCCTACAGTGCATATTGGGGAAAATATAAAGGACAAACTGGACAAGGCCAGTGGGTGTCCTGTTTTTGTGAAATCACTTCCTAATGAAGCCTGAATTACAGATAGTAAAAGTGATGAAGGTGAGATCAATTCCATCCTGTCTGTCCCTCCCAAGGGGTCTATTACAAAAATACAGAGTGGGAAATGACTGCTTAGGAAGGACTATGACAGAAAAGGATCTAGGTGTAACAGTGAATAACAAACTAGATCTGAGACAACAATGTGGTAGGTACAATTACAAAAAAAAAGCAAACATTATTATAGGACGTTTTAGCAGGAGTGTTATACATCAGAGAAAAGAAGTAATTCTTCCTCTCTACTGAGCACTGATGTAGGGTGACTATATTTTCCCAAAGGGAAATGGGACATCCTACATTGGCACAAGGTACACTCCTGTCCCTTTTTTTTTTTTTTTTGGCAAAACTATGTATTTTTCCAGTTTGCTCTTGCTAACGGACGAACAGTTGGTAAGAGCAAATAGGATAATTGCCTAGGTTTGTCAAAAATTGGAATAGTCATGACGGTCTAAAAATGGGACTGTATCGGCCAAATTGAAACACATGATCACTTTTTCGATAAGGCCTCCGCAGGAATACTATGTCCATTTATGGGCACCATATTATGGGAAAGATGTGGATAAATTGCAGAAATACCACAGGAGAGCAATAAAAGTGATGCGAGGTCTAGAAATTATGAGCTATCAGGAAAGATTGAAAAAATGATGGTTTTTAGTCTGGAGAAGAGAAGAAGGGTGAGGTATATGTAAGAAGTTGTCAGGAGGAGGAGGAGAAGTTTTTCTCCTTATACACTGAGAACAAGTCAAGAAGTAATGGGCTTAAAATATTTAATTTAAAGGAGATTTAGAAATTTCAGGAGCTTGTAGAATTTCAGTCATTTGAGGTTTTGAAGAACTGGGTTAGTCAAACATCTGTCAGCGATTGGTTAAATAATATTTAGTCCTACCTCAGTGCAGATGAGTGGATTGGATTACCTTTTTAGCTCTCTTCCAATTCTACATTTCTGTGATTCTGTAATGCAGTTATAGCAACAAGCCTTCTTTCTCCAAGAGGGAATTTATGTCCTGAGCCTGTACACCCTTCCTAACATGTAATCCTTACTAGTGAAGTCTGGGCAAGGATTCACATAGTCTGGCCTCTGCTGCTTACATTTTAGATTCTCAACCTGGAATTTCTTAAGCGATCATGAAAAGTGTCAGGCGTTAGCAAGTACCCTCTCATTATAAGTAAATGAGAAGGCATCCTGGAATGTTTTCCTGTTGTCACATGGCATCACAGTGTAAGCAAGTTTGAGAACTACTAGCTTAGACCTGCTAACCTAATCTGCGTATGTGCAGATTGCCTGAACCCAGCTCTTCAGGTTGCAATCTACTCGCCACGGGGCGAGTAGATTGTATTATTTGTCGAGCCCTGATTTCATATATATTTGTGATGAATTAACTGTACATGACTTTTCAAACTCCTATCTCCCCCCTTTTTTTCTTTAATGAAAGAAATGTAAGATAAGAAATGGAGATGTAAGGTTTTCTGCTAGGTTAACCACTTGTCCATGCATTAATTCCACTATGTTTCCATAGTGGTGAAGTCAGACATTAGTAGGGATGTTAAATATTAGTTAATTAAATAGTCAAAGTAACGTCATGAATTCTTATTGGTTAGTCAACTATTCTATAGTCCTCGGGAGAGGGGCTGGTATCAGTGCGCTCCGGCCTCACTCCCGAGGAGCCCCCGCCACTCCGTTCTGCTGCCTCTATATCAGATGTAGCAGCTTGGGGTGCCAGGAGGGAGCTGGTCCATGAGGGGAGCCACTTTAAAAACCAGCTCCCCTAGCAGTCCAGCTGCCTGTCGCCCTGTGCTGCTGCCTTTGATACTCCTGGACTGAAGTCCTGGACCCAGTGCAAGCTGGAACTGAAGCAGGCTGCCTGCCCACTTTGCTCCTAATACACTTTAAATGCAGAGCTGCAGCAGGCGTAGGTCCAGGACTCGTCACACGCCAGGACTGAGCCGGATACTGGCCAGCCTCCTAAAACATTTATTGGTGCGGGGGGAGGGAAATGTGTGTAGTCTATAGTATTAACCTGTTAGTTTTTGTTTATTGATTAATCAGTTAATCAACTACACTATTACATCCCTAGACATTAGAGCAAGTTGCAAATAAGATATATTCTAATATAAATGCAAAGTATTGTTTGAGTTATGTGGAGAATGTTCTGTGACGCGCCAAGAAAAAATAATTTTTTGAGTCTGGACTCAGGGAAACATTATTTTTATTTCGTCATTATGAATGATATAAAAATGTGTCTGAGAAGCTGAAGGGTCTTCCTTTCCCTTTTGAAAATATTGTTGTAGCCATGAAACAAGCCATCATATTCAAGTACAGAAGAATCTCACTAATGGACGTTATTGACTGGGAGATTTATTGCCAAATAGTGTTTTGCAAATTATTTACTTAACAGCAAGGTTAGCAAAAATAAGTGTGATGCATCACAAAAGTTCTTCGTTTGTTTATCTAGCCTACTGTACTTAATGCTTCCAAATTTACTAGTAAATGTACAGTAACACATTTTATAAAAATAATGATGTCTCAGTATTGCAGAGCCTCTCTGTACATCACACTGTTGCTGAGAAATTAGGAGAGACTGCCAGTTTTTAAAGCGGATTTATAAAGTACAAGGATTACTGAAGTGCACTGTAGGCTTTGATCCTACAAAGATTTGTGCACATACTTAACTTTACATTCATTGGTAATATTCATAGTGTGTAAAGTTAAACACATGTATAATTGCAGAATCAGAATCTTAATGAGTTTCTGTTTAGTTAATCCCAAGAGTTATGAGACAATTGGTTCATAACTCAACAAATATTCAAAATGTTATAAAACAAATTACATTAGTCTTGAGCATAGAAATAACCGAGATACATATCTGGCATTGAATATGACTGAAACACCTGCTTTTTACAAGCCGCTAGAGCAGTGGTCACCAACCAGTGGATCGGGATCTACTGGTAGATCTTGAAGCCTTTGACAGGTAATTC